TAAGATTAGAGAGGGTGTAGGAGTACAGAGGGTGCAGGAGTACAGAGGGTGCAGGAGGACAGAGGGTGTAGGAGTAGAGAGGTTTTAGGGGTAGAGAGGGTGTAGGAGTAGAGAGGATGTAAAAGTAGAGAGAGTGTAGGAGTAGAGAGGGTGTAGGAGTAGAGAGGGTTTAGGGGTAGAGAGAGTGTAGCAGTAGAGAGGGTGTTAGAGTAGAGAGGGTGTAGGAGTAGAGAGGGTGTAGGATTAGAGAGGGTGTAGGATAAGAGATGGTGTAGGAGTGGAGAGCGTTTAGTAGTAGAGAGGTTGTAGGAGTAGAGAGGGTGAAGGAGTAGAGAGGGTGTAGGAGTAGAGAGGATCTAGGGGTAGAGAGAGTGTAGGTGTAAAGAGGGTGTAGGAGAAGAGAGGGTGTAGGTGTAGAGAGGGTGTAATAGTAGAGGGGGTGTAGGAGTAATAGTAGAGAGGGTGTAAAAGTAGAGAGAGTATAGGAGTAGAGATGGTGTAGGAGTAGAGAGGGTGTAGGAGTAGAGAGGGTGTAGGAGTAGAGAGGGTGTAAGATTAGAGAGGGTGTAGGAGTAGAGAGGGTGTAGGAGAAGAGAGGGTGTAAGTGTAGAGAGTGTGTAATAGTAGAGGGGGTGTAGGAGTAGCGAAGGTTTAGGGGTAGAGAGAATTTTAGAGTAGAGCGGGTGTAGGAGTATAGAAGGTGTATGAGGAGAGAGGGTTTAGAGCTAGGAGTAGAAAGGGTTTACGGGTAGAGAAAGTGTTGAAATAGAGAGGGTGCAGGAGTAGAGAGGGTGTAGGAGTAGAGAGGGTGTAGGAGTAAAGAGGGTTTAGGGGTAGAGAAAGTGTAGGAGTAGAGAGGGTGTAGGAGTAGAGAGGGTGTAGTAGTAGAGAGGGGGTAGGAGTAGAGAGGGTGTAGGGGTAAAGAGGGTAAAGGAGTAGATTGGGTGTAGGAGTAGGGAGGGTGAAGAAGTAGAGTGGGTGTAAGAGTAGAGAGGTTTTAGGGGTAGAGAGGGTGTAGGAGTAAAGAGGGTGTAGGAGTATAGAGGGTGTAGGAGTAGAGAGGGTATTGAAGTAGAGAGGGTAGGAAGTAGAAAATAGGAAAATTGAAATGGGATTTCGATATGGAAATGGGAATTCTGTATGGTATTGGGAAATCTGTGTAGAAATATCAATATGAAAATGAAATATTGATATGGAAATGAAATATTCATACGGGAATTGAATATCAGTATCGGAATAAGAAACCTATAATAAGAAACCTATAAAATAGGATAATTGATATGAAATTTCGATATGGAAATAAGAATTCTATATGGAAATGGGAAATTCTTTTGGGAAATCTGTACAGAAAAATCAATATGAAAATGGAATATTAATTTGGAAATGAGAAATTCATATCGAAATTCCATATGGAATTGAATATCAGTATGAAAATGAGAAACCCATAATAAAATGGGAATATCTAATTAAAATAGGAAAATTGACATTGGATGTCGTTATGGAAATTGTAATTCTATATGGTATTTGAAATCCGTATAGAAAAATCAACATGAAAATGGAATATTGATATAAAAATAAGAATTTCATATCGAAATTCCGAATGGAATTAATAATCAGTAAGGAAATAAGAAACCCATAATAATATGGGAATATCAAAATAAAATAGGAAAATTGACATACGATGTCAATATGGAAATGGGAATTCTATATAGTGTTGGGAAATCCGTATAGAAAAACAATATGAAAATGGAATATTGATATAAAAATGAGAAATTCATATCGAAATTCCATATGGAAATTGAATATTAGTATGGAAAAAAGAAACCCATAATAAAATGGGATAAGGGTCTTAATAAACCCTTATCGAGAGACCGGAGAATCCGAGAGGAAACTAGAAACGGGGCTTTGGCGTATTTCAGATGCTGACCAAGATGAAGTTTTGATACAAGCAGCGGTGGAAAACCCTTTCCAAACTTCTTCACAACTACAAAGAACCACCAGATTTCCTGGATGCTCCAGAACAATACGCAGCAGACTTTAGGAGGTTTGGTGAGGTTTTGTGAGGTTTGGTGAATTTGGTAAGGTTTGGTGAGGTTTGGTGAAGTTTGGTAAAGTTTGGTGAGGTTTGGTGAGGTTTGGTGAGATTTCGTGAGGTTTGGTGAGGTTTAATGAGGATTAATGAGGTTTGGTGAGGTTGGGTTAGATTTGGTGAATTTGGCGAGGTTTGGTGAGGTTTTGTGAGGTTTGGTGAATTTGGGGAGGTTTGGTGAATTTGGTAAAGTTTGGTGAGGTTTGGTGAGGTTTGGTGTGGTTTCGTTAGGTTTGTTGTGGTTTGGTGAGATTTGGTGAGGTTTCGTGAGGTTTGGTGAATTTGGTGAGGTTTGGTGAATTTGGAGAGGTTTGGTGAGGTTTGGTTAGCTTTGGTGAGGTTTGATGAGGTTTGATGAGGTTTGGTGAGGTTTAATGAGGTTTGGTGGGGTTTGGTGAGGTTTCGTGAGGTTTGGTGAGGATTGGTGAGGTTTGGTGAGGTTTGGTGAGGTTAGGTGAGGTTTGGTGAATTTGGTGAGGTTTGGTGAATTTGGTGAGGTTGGTGAATTTGGTGAGGTTTGGTGAATTTGATGAGGTTTGGTGAGGTTTCGTGAGGTTCTGTTATTTCGGACTTTATCCGGACGCAATCCGCCTATTTCGTACTTTATCCGTATTTATCCGTCTATTTCGGACTTTATCTGGACTATTTCGGCTATTTCGGACTTTATCCGGTCGTTTTGCAGCTATTTCGGACTTTATCCGGAAGAATCCGTCTATTTGGGACTTTATCCGGACGTATTCCGGGTATTTCGGAATTTATCCTGATTTATCCGGCCATTTCAGATTTTATCCGGACGTATTCCGGCTATTTCGGACTTTATCCAGACGTATTCCTGCTATTTCGGACTTTATCCGAACGTCTTCCTGCTATTTCGGACTTTATCCGGACGTATTCCGGCTATTTCGGACTTTATCGTAAAATCTCGTGAAATCCCGCGAAATCTCGAGAAATTTCGTGAAATCTCGCGAGATCTCGTGAAATCTCGTGAAATCAGATGAACTCGAGATTTTGATAGATTTCACGAGATCTCGCGAGATTTCACGAGATTTCTCGAGATCTCGTGATATATTTTGATATCTCTTGAAATAGCGTAAATAACGTGTTTAGTGTTAAAATAACGTAAATAGCGTAAAAAGCGTAAATAGCCTAATTAGCGTAAATATCGTATTTGGCGTTATATAAATACAAATAGCGTAAAGAACGTAAATAGCGTTAATAGCGGAAATAGCGTTTATAGCTTAATTAGCGTAAATAGGCTAAATAGCTTTAATAACGTAAATAACGTATTTAGCGGTTAATTAATGTAAAAACCTTTAAATTATCGTAAATAGCCTAAATAACATAATTAACCTACATTTACGTCCAGAAGCAATACAAGGGGCAATCTCAGCATTTGCTCAATGGATCATGGAAACGACAAAAATCTGATCGAGATGGAAAGTCTGTGCCTTTCTGTAGTATCAGTAGTTTAATTCTATAATTAACCGGATTTGGTAAGGAGGAAGCCCTTTGTTATGCATACTATGCGCACGAATAATGAAACAATTGTATATTTGTAATGTTGAACAATTAAAACATAGTAACGGAACTAATATTTGGTTATGTTTATAAGTGCACTTTGCCAACGTAGCGATAGCCAAGTGACATCGTACCTGTTTTCTTTGTAGCTACACTGACTGGGAGATCCTAAATTTCGAGTAACGACGGTGGCAGATGTTCGATTGAAGTGACATTAGTTGGTCGAAAAATCTTTGTAGCCGTGTTGGAGAAATGTATTAGAATACTCTCCAGGGTTTCAACTTAATTTTCTACAAAACTCAAGGAATTCTTTGAAAATCGATTCGGGTCAGATCGTTCATTAAAAATTACTTTTGGCAAAACGTCTATGAGTATTTTAGGCACTAGTGATATTCATAGACAGTCAGACGAACCTGATGACCTAAAAAATCTATAGAGTTCCATTTAAAAAATCGAAGTTGGGTATATACCCATATACATCTCTGCAATAAAAATGCAATATTATAACATATGGATGACCATATGTGCCCCTTGCATATAGTAGTTATAGTGAAAACCGCATCTCAGTATCTGCAACTGTTCAGGAAAAAATTGAAGGGAACATCTTAGTGGGCCACACGGTATATCACTCTATAATCTACTTTTCTCCGTTAAATCCCACACACTTCCAAGGGAATGGCACCGATGTGATATGTCAAAACTGACAAATCATTTTTTTAATGGAAGCATAGCCGTATTATCTCACGGTCAAACTTTTTGGTGCTGATACACATGCCAGCCAATGAAAAAACATCCAGAATTTCAATTGCCATATGCTTTCAAGATGTAAATAAATACTGCAACCTGCAAAGCAGGCGTACCAGCGCGCTCGCTTGTGATTCAATCACCACAGTTTGCCGCAAGCGGGGAGCAGCTGCTCCTCGTATCATCTAAAATAATAAAACTAATAAGACTAATATTAACTATACGTATGTAAAATACTATACAAGTTTTCGCACTTTTGGTTTGTGTTGTTCATTTTTGGAGAATTCATTTCGTGTTAAAACTTGCAGTACCGCTCATCTTCCTTTCAACATGAGCTACGTCCCTGGAGTCTTCTCACGAATTTGAGAGTCTTCTCTGCGTCTTACTGCCAAAACAGGTCAGTTGTGTAATCACCGAAAGGTCGGTGCAACTGGAAAAGCTGCGGTAAAGTTGTAAGTCTCGGAGTTTCGAATGCGAAAATTGATTTATTCACTTTGGTTTGGTAATGTGAAACATTATGCTGTTAAAATCAGTGTCGAAATAAGTACTTACGCTGTAGTGTATAATGAACTTCATTACCACACTAGTGCGGTAAGCGAGAATTTTTTTGACAAACAGCTAAAGCCATATATACAATTTCTTATAACCAATGAGAACGCTCGTTGTATTCCGATTAGGTACGTTATTAAATTTTGTTATTGATTGGTTGATTTTTGAAATCACGTGATTGGTTGATTTTTGAAATCACCACGTGATTGGTTGATTTTGAAATCGTTAGTCATTGTTATATGTCGACAGTGTAAGGTTAGGTACTCCAGTGATACCAGTGACTGTAGAAAGTCAGGCAAGTGCAGTGATTAATGAATTACAGTGATAAATTGAATGTGGAAAACTGAAGAGAAATATTGAAGAAAAAATAGTAAGTATATAATAAAAAATATTTAATTTCAAAATATTTAATTTTTTAAATATTTAATATTCTATTTCTTTTATAGATTACCATGGCTGATGCTAGTACATCTAATATCAATGACATTACAGTTAGTATCTGTTTATGTCATCTCATCATTGTTATCAACAATCAATTAAAAATATTTTATTTATTTCCCAGGAAGTTACGTGTATAGAGCAAGATGTTGAGCAAGGTTTGTATAATTTTTTTATAGAATCTGTTAAAAATGTATATTAAATACTAATAAATTATTTCTTTTTAGAATATCTTGCCTAAAAATAATATGTATAGGTATAAAGTATTACGTGTTGAAAAGGAAGAACAACACAATAACGGAGTTCATTTACAGTTTGCGCTAAATGTAAAAACTAAAGATGAAGCGAAAAACTGGATAAAATGTTTTCAAGAACATACAAAAACAACATACACTGTTCAAACGACTCGACCAACCACAAAAACTCTTGTCGTTTGGAAGTGTTATTATAAATGCCACCATAATACGAGGTCGAAAATGTCAATTCGGAAATGCAACCAAATGTAAAAAATACAAATTGCCCGTCCAAAATGATTGTGACGCTTAGAGCTGTCCACAAGCGATGGCAAGGAAAGTTATTAAAAAATAAACCAGATCCCGAAATGCCTTGTGTAATAGATTTGAATTATATACACAATCATCCGGTGGGTGATTACGCCGATGTGCTACGTTTTCGACCAGTATCAGACGAGACAAAGGAGAAACTCATATTTTTGTATGACAAGGGCTATTCACCGGTGTCGGCTCTGAAACATGTTAAGCAATCACTGGAGGAAGAGAATCCAGAAAAGTTTGATCAGTTGATTGCAGATCGGTATCACTGCTCTGATTATCAATTTTGCTACCGACTGTTTATGAAGGAATTCAATAAACAGTATGGTCCAGCCACGTATGCGAACTCTCTACAATTTTTAAATGAAAAAATTGTGACAGATTTTAATCAAGAAGGTAAAGATAAATGTATTGAAATGACGCAAGGCAAAAACTATTTGCTCGTTTCAATTTGCACACCCTTAATGAGGAGAGCACATACTCTGTTACGAGAGGCGGGGGAATTAGTGTTTGTAGACTCGACTGGCAACCTTGACCGAGAAGGTCATAGGGTTTTTCAATTTATGACATACACAGAGGCTGGAGGCTTTCCACTGGGCGTTGTAATTACGTCTTCCGAATCTCTTCCCATTATTATCACCGGCTTTAAAATGTTAAAAACGTTGATAGGAGACGCTGGCTTTTACGGTAGAGGTGCGGATGTGGATCCGCAAAACTTCATTACGGATGATAGTAGGGGCGAGAAACACGCTCAGTCGTTTGGTCGTCTACCGTGCAGTTTTTGTGCATTTTTCACGTACTACATTTTGTGTGGCGGTGGCTCATGTTAAGCGATCACGGAATTTTGAAAGAACATAGACAAACGTTGTATAAACTCTTTAAAAATATCTGTATAGCGCATCAAAAAGAGTGCAATAAAATGTTTTGTCTGCTGAAAAGAAATAAAATCGCTCGTCAATATCCGATTTTTCTCAACTATGTGGATGATCTATGAAGAGACATCATGAATGGCTTTGTATCCCAGAAACGAAACGCATGCTCTGATACGTGGAATCCATACAAATAATTTCTTAGAGCATCTATTCGAACTCTCAAAGATAAAATTTTAGATAGGGTAAAGGCATTCAACCTTGTACAACTCGTTTACTTTATACTTGTTCGTACTCGACAAGTATTACATTAAAAATTTTTAGACGCCGCACATGGGAGACGAAATGTGAAGAAAGGCGGAGGACGACGCGTGTACGACGCCCTTCTTTAAAAGTTCTACAGACGCAATTTCTGCCTGTCGAGACGATGATACCGAGTTATACTGTACAGGGAGACACGGGAATCACGTATAAGGTGAATGTTCGTAATGAACATGCACATGCGTCGTCGGCGCTACGTGAGCATTTTGCAAACATCAGTTTGGGTCCAGTGTAAAAAAGAGCGGTAGTGGAGGTGTAGTAGTAAAACAAAGATCCGACAACATGTGTTTATCAATTAGCCCGGGAAAAAATACTCCTCCGAAATGGTTGAACCGTCTGTATGTTATATACGTCAAAACAATGTCTTGTGAGGATACGTCCCACAACCATGCCCACTCTTCCACACATGTGAGATGATACATGCTACGGAAAATGTATCGTTACAACAATTAGAAACGATGAAAAAACGAAGGAGAACATATTATTAAACAAATAGCTGAAAAAAATGTTGCATTTCCTTAACGTTTGCCAGATGTGGTATTACCGAGTCTACAAAACATGAACCGTCAACTGAAAAAGAAATCTTTCATGATGTTTGGATAATATGCTTCTCTAAAAAGGAAAGGGAATGATGATTGCCGTTCAACACCGAGTGCAATCTCTAGACCGAAAGACAACATAACTGGTCGCCGTAAACACCCAGGTGGTAGACATTGTTGGGCCACCTCAATAGACAACGGCTCCACATGATTAGGTGAATGTGTCACAAGAGAAATATTCGTCTGGAGGAAGGGCATTTGAAAAAATAACTATCTACTCAGAAAATGTAATTACAATATTTCTTTTTGATTTTGTTTTTGTAAATTTTATAATTTTGTAATCTATAGTATTCTCTCTATTCTTTTTGTAAATTTTTGTTAAATTTGTATATGTCATTATTATTTTTTTGTTAATGTTGTTTACCTAGAATGGCTATTCTTTCTTGTTATGTATGTTGTCTTAGTTATTTTTATGTAATCTATAGGTATCTCTCTATTCTTTTTGTTGGTAAATTTTGTAATTTATATGTCTTCATTATTTTTTTGGTTACCATTTCTATTGAATGTTTGATTTTTTTTGGTATAATGTTGTCATTAGTTATTTTATATGTAATCTATAGTAAATTCTCTCTATTCTTTTTGTAAATTTTGTAATGTTTTGTATACGTTTTTTATCCATTGTAGGTTATAGTGTCTATTATTGTTATAATGTATGTCATTAGTTGTATTTATATTGTATCTATTAGTATTCTCTGCTAAAATACCTCTTTTGGTAAAGTTGTGTAAATATATATATGTCATTAGTTATTTTTTTTGTGTACGTATCTAACTGAATGTACTCATTCTTTTTTTTGTTAATTTGTAAATTTCTAATTATGTATTAGTTTTTATATGTAAATATATAGTTCTCTCTATTCTTTTTGTATTTGTAAATTTATATGTCATTAGTTATTTTTTTGTTAATGTATGTCATTACTAGAATGTTTATATCCATTAGTTATTTTTTGTTAATGTAATTCATTAGTTATTTTAATATGTAATCTATAGTATTCGTCTCTATTCTTTTTGTAAATTTGTAAATTTATATGTCATTAGTTTATTTTTTTGTTAATGTATGTCATTACTAGAATGTTTATATCATTAGTTATTTTTTTGTTAATGTATGTCATTAGTTTATTTTATATGTATCTATAAGTATTGGCTCTCTATTTCTTTTTGTAAATTGGTTGTAAATTTGATATGTCATTAGTTATTTTTTGTTAATCACCTGTCTATATATAATGACATTTTGTTACCTTAGATGTTATATCATTAGTTATTTTTTTGTTAATAGTTTGTATGTTTATAATTTTTGTAATAAAAAAATCTATATGTATTTGCTGTAAAATGAAAATAAATGATCAAGTTAATTGATGAATTTTTTTTTTAGTGTCAATAACGCCAAATCTAGTTGTACAAAAAAAAATTTGTATTCATATATTGGAGTTTTAAATAATTTTGCATAACTTTCAATCAAGGATAAGGGTACAAACCAAAACAGTAATTTATTGGTTCCAATAATCATAAAAACAACATGTCATAAACACTAAACCATACGTTCTCTAAATAACATCCATTAATCGCTCTTCTTGTTATTGATCATCATGGTAATTATTTAATTTTGACCAATGTTTCAATGTATGCATTAATAAGTAGCGCGTTTTGTGTAACAAAATACAACTCGTGAAGCGCACATCTTGGCATTCATAATTCTTGACTCTCATCTGTAGGTACAAAATTTACTACACTACGAAAAGCCCAAATAAGCCCACGACGAGTCGGTAACCACACCTGTCAACGTGCGCTTCTCCCCATACTTACCCGAGCGCGTACCGACAGGCGTATCAAACATGTCGTATCGTTGCCAGTTAGTTTCAACTGGACATAGGTTCTGTTATGGCTGCTGATGTTGGTACTTGTCTCTCATATAAGCGGACGGGTTTGTGTGCTAAGGGTACTCGCACATGGGGCGGTGGGTGAGCACGTCTCCTATGCGCATGGTGCATACCAATGCAACTCTATACGTTCAGTCCGCGACCATACAACAGTACAGATCCCGCGTGGGCCTGGCGCAAAACCCAGTTGTGCGAGCTCTAATTGTTTGTATTGTATTTTGCTTACAAGACCATCCTCAATTCGCTTCACCCTTACATCTATCATATATTCGCTGTTGTTAAAAATCCCCCCGTCTTGAATGAGGAGGCAATGGCGGTCAGGCAAGAAAATGCAATTCTTCGGAGGTTCTTTTACAATCCAAGAAGTGTTGCTCCAGAATGAACCTTGACGTGTGAAAGTATTGGTTGCATTGACTCGGACCTCATATTCCAATTCAGTGACACATGATGACGTGGGTGGCAGCCAGCTTAACGCCACCCTGCGAGATCCTGCCCAATACACTTGGAGGTCTTCTACTCCAGCGACCTCAGCAAGACAAGTTACGACACTGACAGTTTCGCTATAGGGTTGAAGGTTATACCAATTTCTTATCACATGTTCTTCAATAAATATATATGACTTGGCTTTAACAAGGTATTCTGATGATGTTATCAGATTAGAAATATTGCATATGGAATTACAATGTGATGAATTAAAAATGTTATTTGTTGTTAATAATTGTACGGTCCACTTTTCTTCTTCTTTCGTCTTATAGTACCAATCGATGATATCCGGACATACATTTTTACAAGCGATGTCAATATGGAAGCGTAGCGTGTCGTGTCCAGCCGCGATGAGTCGGGGAACTTCCATGGGAGGTTCGGAGAGCAGTTCGCGGGGTGGGTCGTCACGCTCCCGGACCATAGTTTCTAGAGCATCGCCACTCTGTTCCGTAAACACCAC